CCCCACCAGTAAGAAATAAGAGTTCTCTTATGTTTTCATGCGCGAGAAAGATACGGAACTGAATCACGAACGACCGAAAAGTTTTCGAAAAACAAAGTTTACATGATTCAGATAAACTTGTTAAAAAACAACTGAGACAAAATAGAAAAATAAAGCAAAATATAAATGATGAATTTCCTTGTCAGTAAATTGGAATTTGTAGAAGTTTTTGAATATTTAGTAGCATTTTAAAGTGAAAGACAAGGTCTTCATACAATACTGACATCTTTCAACATCACAAATTGCAGATCATTTGTATAATCATACTAGCTCGAAATACTGAACAGTTAAATATTTGGTGCAATTTTATATTTCATTCAATATTTAAATAAATTATCGATAGAAAGATATAAAATTATTGAATAAAAGTCTTCTTTTGTTTGCCGATGGGACCCCGCGATAGGTGGCGAACAAAGCTGTATTTTTCGTGATCGAAAAACATACGATAGTTGGTTAAAAACAACCGAATTGTTAAAGATTTACAAAGCTTAATAAAGGATGAATATTTGTTGTAATATTTGCTCTCCGGATTATATTTCATCCAGCATTAAAATCAATTAAGCTTATCTATAGAAATATTAAAAGTTTTGAGAGAAATTCTTCGATTTGTCGATAAAAATACTTGTCAAAATCAGTATTAAATAATATATTGTTTGCTAAAAAATATGAAAGTTTTTTTAAATTGTTGTTGGTCTATAATTTGTCCTAAAATAATTTTTTCTGTGCATTTGAAAGCCGCATTTCCGAGTAGTTTTGCTTTGAAAGCAAGCGAGATTCCTGTGTTGTGTACACGGACGCCTGTACGGACGGAAGTGACGTCAGCCAAGCCAGGAAAAATCAACTCGATGGTTTACCATTTTTCTTAAGTATGGTGCTCTGCTCGCAGCTCCGCTACTACAACATCAGCCTATAAGCAATTTATCCATCAACACTCTTGGCTTACCTTACCAACCAGCTGTACAATTTCTGAGAGGTCTTCTTCTTCCTGTAAGATCTGCTTGATCTGTAAAACCAACGTGGAAAAGATTCAGATTTCAGTACTATACTAACTATTAATTAAATGCAACGCAATGGTGTTCCGCAAGGATCGTACCTTGGTCCTCAAAGACACGAAGTCAGGGTAGTTCTTTTCATAGAAATCATCCAATGATCTCATGTACTTGCTGTAGCTGATGAGCCAGTTGATTGAAGGAAAGTGCTTACGTTGAGCCAGCTTTTTGTCCAATCCCCAGAATACCTGAAATAATAAAATCATTTCCGTACCATAAATTGACGACTTACTAAGACAGAATTACAGATTTGACTTGAACTAACCTGAACGATACCCAAAGTAGCTGAGGTGACTGGATCTGAGAAGTCACCTCCAGGGGGGGATACGGCTCCAACGATGGTCACGCTACCCTCTCTCTGGGGATTTCCAAGACATTGCACACGGCCAGCCCGCTCATAGAAGGAAGCCAGACGGGCACCCAAGTAGGCTGGATAACCACTATCTGTTGATTGTTAAAAAAAAGTAACTCACTTCTACTCTGTCTGCGGTAAACCACATTCAGAACTAACATTGGTTTGTTACCTGCAGGCATTTCAGCTAAACGACCAGAGATCTCACGCAGTGCTTCAGCCCACCGGGAAGTAGAATCAGCCATCATRCTTACATTCTTACCCATGTCACGGAAATACTCCGACAGTGTTATACCTGACAACAACAATCTGTTAGAAATAATATTGTAACAATAAAAAAACCTTAGCATACTAGCTTACCAGTGTAGATGGACGCCTCTCTAGCAGCTACTGGCATATTAGATGTGTTCGCTACCAAAGCTGTTCTCTTCATGATTGATTCTACTTGTCCATTGATTTCTACAGTCAACTGAAGAGATAAAACACGCAGTTAATCAAACCCACCTGTTTAAATTTTGGTTTTTGAATGTTGAAGATTACCTCGGGGAAGTCTCTAAGTACTTCTGACATCTCGTTTCCTCTTTCACCACAGCCCACATAAATAATGACATCAGAATTGGAATACTTGGACAGAGATTGAGAAATGACTGTTTTACCGCAACCAAATGCTCCAGGAATAGCTGTGGTACCTCCCTGGACACACCTACGATATATGTAAGAACACTTTAAATAAAAATTGAAACCAATTGACCGGTTCCTTGTGGTGTAGTTTCCCCATTTCAGATCACCTGTTATTCTATTGAAAATAAGATTATTTGTCTGAGATGTATCCATATTCACCTGACTTCTCTTGAATAACCATTAAACAAAAAATGATACTTTTGGGAATGACACGGGGTCTGTAAAAACCATTGCACACAATGAATAAGGCCTACTGTATATTTTATTCAAGTTTGATTTTAGAGGACACAACATGGATCGCATGTGCAGACAGAGAGAGAAACAGACGGACGGACAGACAGACTTAGAGAGAGAGAGAGAGGGAGAGATCAAAGGCCCTTTGGCGAACTCGTGGATACTTGTTGCACTTTTCGAATATTTAGATTGGTTTTCCTGTGCCCTCATGCTTGTTGACATTCTCAAAGGATTCCAAATACTTCGCTCGATTTGATATTTTGAATACTCAATTTATCTAGTAAGATGAGTAATCGTCCTTTTTATTTTCCTTTTAACACCTARTTCTTCGCTATTTTGTTGAGTTTGAAAGCGATTTCTGTGATGAATTAATTGTCTGAACTTCAATTAATACGAAAGACGACTTCGACTACGACTTCGATAGAGTCAACTGAGTCAAGTATAGAGTATAATTGGAAGAAGATTTATTTGAAAACGCTTTCTCTGTTTTTAATTTCAAAGGCGGGCTGTGTGTTTTATACCAGCAAACATTCGACCTCAAAAACTGAATATACAAAATAATCGGCCGATCGGGACGATAAACATAAAGCGTTGCGTTATGCGTGTTGATTTACATTACTACTTATCTTGACCTTCAATGGTCACGGGTCCTATATTTGTTTCGGATGAAACTATTTATTTACACTGTGAACTGAGCAAATATTTTATAGAAATACGTTTATAAATGCTATTTATTTTGCCTTCATCCAAGTCGGTAAATTAATGATTATTTATTGGAGCGAATTCTCGTTTTAGACCTTCGCACATTTCAACACACAATCTGAGCATTGCTTCGGCTGTTTGTAATCTTGTAATGCGTGGCGATCAATCTACTTTTTATTCAGAACGGCTTATTCAAATGACAAAACTGGCCGAACTTCCTTCAAAACTCCATTGGAATTGGTCTTTTTTTCGTCTTTTGTTATTTTTTCTACGATCTACGTATACATCTACATTGATTATTTTCTAAGAAGTTTACTTTAGTAAATACAACTGTTGATCAGTATAATAATAAGACTTCTCTCGATCGAGTTTATGAGATTTTATTGCTAAATACCGCCGTGACTTTGAGCTGTCCCTATGGAGAATAAAGTCCTCCAGAGCTTGAAATCAGACTCTCTTCTTGAGTTCTAATTAATTTTTTCGATAACCGGCTCGATCTACGAGTCTCAGTCTGAAATCGAAATGTTGACGTCGTACCTAATAAGCTTTTTTGTTTACTTTTTTAAAATACATCAGAAAAGAAGGTCTAACTCATTGAAATTTTATTTCAGGCGTTAATTGTATAATTTTACTTCAACTTGCATCTTTCCTTGATTCTTTTAATATGAATAATTCGAAGATAAAACTATGTGCGAGTGTGCGCATGCACATTGGGCCCCCACGGCGTCTGCAAGTGATAGAAATGTATCCCACATGGAACATCAGCATTTCGTTTCCTCATATATAACAAAGTAATCTATATGGTATAAGAGCTTTGTGCTTGTTAGTGTGGTGTAACATTCGTAATCGGATGACGTAAGACGATCGACAAACGTTTAATTATCGATCTGCTAACATCTTAGTGAGTGAGTGAGTGAGTGAGTGAGTGAGCGAGTGACACATTTGCATATTCAGACCCCTCACCATAACTCGTTTCTACGCTTCGCGTATCCACGAGTTAAAAAAGGACATGTTTCATTGGTACTCATATAACAATTAAAATATTCTTACGGGAAAAGTGCATCCAAAACTCTTTGCCCTGTCAGTAGTGGATTATTAGCAGCCAGCTTCTCTGTCACTGGTCTCATTTGACGAACAGGCCAAACCTTTAAAATGTTGAATTATTCAGTTATAATCCTTTCATTTCAAATATTACACTTCTATATAAAATGAAAAAACCCAATCCATCTCAGTCACATCCAATCCATTCCAGTCACATCCAATCCATTCCAGTCACATCCAATCCATTCCAGTCACAACCAATCCATTCCAGTCACATCCAATCCCTTCCAGTCACATCCAATCCATTTCAGTCACATCCAATCCATTCCAGTCATATCCAATACAGTCACATCTATGGACTGTGCTCTGTTCACTGATATAGCACAGTTCTCAACTAATCATAGCATGTATAGTGAAGTGACAATATACATTCATAACCAAACCTGCAACATTTTATGCTTGGCTTTCTCTCCATCAAATTCAGTTTCTAATACTGTATCCTGGATATTAGAAAAATTAAAAATATGGTAAGAAATCTGCTTATATCATTAGATTATCATTAGGTAAACAGCCTAACTTACTGTTATAGAATAGCTACCAGGCGGTGCTATGTATGTTATGGTTCCTCTTGCTTTAGGGTGAAGAATAATCTTATGATTGATAAAGGTGTTTTCTACAACTGATCCATAGATGTCCCCACCAGTGATATGATCACCAACCTGTAATGACAGCAGGACATCAAGTCAGCTCCAGACTCACATCATTCTATCCAGCAATAATCTTTTAACAATGAACAAGGTTTATAAGACCTAGAAAAATGGTGGTTGATTGGTTGTGCATTGAATGTGTAGTTTCAAAAAATATCCATACCCCATTCACTGAGGAAATTGAAAATTTTGGAGGCAAGGAGGTCAAAAAGAGAACAAAATTGCAGAGCTTGTATGGAAGAAAATTGGAAGTTCCTGGTGGTAAGGGGGTCTTTTTACAAATTCATTCCATGGAGGAGAACAGGAGGGAGGAGAACTCTCTTGTTTCTACAAATGAACACTCTCCACAATAAAAAGGTACTCATTGTTGTTCAATTTGGCTYGTATTTAATAACTGGGTAAATAATTGTGGTCAACAATTTCCCCACTATATAACCACTCACTATACTCACTCCCTTCTCACTAAACGTGCTAACATAACTGCTATAAAACTACTCACTATACTCACTCCCTTCTCACTAAACTTGCTAACATAACTACTATAAAACTAATCACTATACTCACTCCCTTCTCACTAAACTTGCTAACAT